AAGTGAATGTATTCTGCTTATAGCTAGCTAATTATGCAAATCGTTGGGAGTTTCATAATTCCTCCTGGTTTACTTAGGTACGACTTAACTTGTTTCCAACAGCTCGAAACTAATATTTTCTGACAGAAATAATAGAACACTCTGGCGACTGGGCACAGCAATAGTAAGTCTCATCCATTTCGAACGACGGATTATGCAACTCGGAGAAATTGCACACAGACGCACATTCATTCATTTCACGATAATCTTAATCTAACAATTAGAAAACAATAAATCGTAGAAGATAACACAAGTCATACTTGATTTTAGAGTGTGATGGAAAAGAGAATAGCATGGTGCTATGCGCTACCCGCCTGCAGAACGGGCGGCACTTCGCTAGTCAACACTAAATTCTCATGGTGGAGATTGCATGTACATTACCAATTGCTGCATACGATATTTGATAGGTTAATTTTCAATACGAGTGTATCTTTATAAAAAGCCAATCATAAATTTTTAACAGAAAAAAAATTGTTACATCCCCTCAAGATTTTTAAGCCATGATTGTCATTCCCTCGCACTGCTGCATTCTGCCCTTAGTTTGGGGGCTCACCTTGTTAACGACTGCCGAGGCTACCACAGTAAGGGACACTGTATCCAATGCTGTAGCTGTTGTGCCAAATCAGCAAATGAAAACGCACACGCCATCAAGACCGGATGGTGATCGCGAATTGGTCGAGGAGCGAGTCTTTCCTACTTCGACTATGACCGAATTAGTTGAACATGAGCTTCAGCCATTTGCAGATACATTTGTTTCTAAAAAAGTGATTGATCAGCTGCATATGATGAAGTATGCCTCAAATGAAATGGAGCATTATGATTTCGTGGATGATAAAGTGAGATAAGTCGTATTTTAAACGGGATTGAAAACAAAATGGATGTGTTTCGTTATCTTCCCTTGCTAGTATGGTTTGGAACAAAGGCACCGAAGGATCAGAAAGCCGCTATCGCAACTCTGTGTGACAGTTTGAAAGATTATAAGCTAACCCAACCTATCCTTCCAAAAATTTTCGCGACTGGAAAGACGGAGAAAAACATTTTTCATGATTTTGCTATAGCTGTGGAGAGAAAATGGTGGTTGAGCATTTCGACGAGTGAAATGTACGAAGCTCTAGGAATGCCTTCCGGCATTGATGAACATGAAAACTTTGTTAAACAATTGGGTCCTTTAATTTGGGATAAAGTTGATTTTTTTGAAGAAGAGGATTTCGTAGAGTTGATGTTAACTAAAATGCGAGAACGGTCAAAGGATGAAATTATGTGGGCTCACCTTATTTACAAGATGCAGAGTGAGGGAAATTTTTTTAAGCCTTATAACGCTTTGTTTAATAATCTACTCCGGACATACGACACGACTACAGGTGCTTACACACCCATCGACGCTGTCAACCTTCTGACGAATCCAGGTTTGCGGAGTGTTTACGGTTCCGCACTAATAGCCGACGAAAGTGTCTGCATCAAGTTAAGAGGCAATTTATTAGAGCTGTCACAAGATGAACTGATGTGGGCAAAATTAATGTACATGCTGCGAGACGACGACAGGGCAATAACTTTTTATCCTTATGTATTTGACAAACTTCTTGTGCCATATAAACTTGAAGGTCGGCAGCTATTGCCCAGCCAGGCTATCACGTATCTGACGAGCCAAGACTTTGTCTTAGAGTACGAATCTTTGATTGCGACAGCGAACGATGTCGATGCATTGCTATTGAAAAAGCTAATTGAAATCTCTGAAGATACATTCATGTGGGCCAAAGTTCTGTACATGTTACGTAATGACGAAAGCCTCAATGTGATCCCGGGTATATTGAATAATCTCATGGATAGATGGACGAATTTCGGCGCACATACCGAACAGATTTCGTTGCAAGAAAGCTATGAAGTCCTAGCGAGTACGAATTTATTGAGTTTTTCCTTGTTCAAGCGGCTGATAAATGACAATTCCGATGTCTCTGTGCTAAAAGTTCTGCGAATGCGATCGACAGATGAATTCACGTGGGCTGGCGCTCTATATTATTATACAAAAGAGAGTGAGCTATATTCGTATATTTTCTCCGGTGTGCTCGACGCACTTCTCCACTCGTGGGTCGCAAAACCATATAATTCGGTTGCAGCTACAGAAAGCAATCGCATCCTCATTAGCGCATATGAATTAATGTTGAACTGGGTTCCCGGAATCATGTCTCACCAACCAACTTTTTCGGATCTCGATAACATTCTGATCACATTGCGTAGTCATTCGAAAGACGATTTGATGTGGGCTTGCTTTATGTACAAGCTAAAACACAACATAGAGTTTAGCAGTGTAGCTTCCAAGGTGTTTGACATGCTGCTATCGACGGGAAAGATAACAAAAAAAATGCCAGCACAGCATCCTACAGCCAGTCGTTGCATCGCCATTCTGACGGATCCGTCCTTACCATCAACGACCAAAGTGGAGACTTTGAAAGAATCGTCTTTTGATGAACTCATGTCGGCCAAACTATTACACATGTTGCGCACCATGTACAATGAGCAGGCTGATTCTCTGCACAACAAGTTGTTACAAAGTCTGCTTGAAAATTGGACGATAATTTGGACAAGGAAAAAAAATCTTAAAAAATATAGAAGCGATTCTTTGGAAAAAACCAGTCTTGGCAAAATGATAGCTTTCGCGAAATTTTCGAGTGATAACCCCAGTGAATTTCTGCTGAAGGAATTACAAAAGCAAAAAATAAATGAAGCTACATTTGCTGTACAGATACGCGAGTTGTCGAAATCCAATGATGATATAGAGGGCTTGTTATGCGCTCTTTTTCAATCATGGATTGGAAAGCCGTTTGATGGAGGTGTGAAATCAGAAGAATTCGCGAGACTTAAAACAGCGTTTGACTTATTGAATGACCATAGCCATTGGCAAGAATGGCAGAAGCTGGATGACAAAGACTTTTCGCTTGTACTCCGAAATTTATCTGAAATCTCAAATGATGAACTCATGTGGTATCGATTTTTACGCAAATTACAGTACGACACATCCTTCAGCGTCTCGTTGGCTGAATTGGTAAAATTTCTTCGTAATAAATGGCGGCACAAATTACCAAAGACTTGAGATTTGATATTTACCCAATTGATTTTTAATCGAGTCTGGCATTATGTTTTCTCTTGTCAAGCAAAGGCACTGGACGGCTTGCGGTTGGCAAAATAGATCATGCAATCAAAGTGTTAACTGCAGAGAACAATCATTCGGGTGTTGCTGCAATCTCACCACGTCAGTAAAGCTTCAGAAGTTTTTAACAAGTTGAGATTCCTTTGAATCTAATACAAAAACTGTAGAATCTTCTGATCCTCGCAAAACGATGTGACAATTTCAGCCTTTTGTTTTCCTTAGACACAACCAGAAGGTTTGGTTAACATGTAAACTAACACCAACATTTTTAATGTCAAGATAAATTCCCGTTTTACGTAGCGTTGCAAGAAACTGTGTGTCTCCTGTCACACTTTGACGTGGCTACAAGCAAGTGTCTAGCACCTAAAGCTGAATGTGGCTTTTGCAAATTTATGAAGGCAGGTCCGTGTGGTAAGGGTTTTTCTACGTGGGAAACATGTCTAGACGATTGCAAGAAAAGCGGTGACGACTTTATCGAGAAGTGTGGACCACAGACACTTGCACTGCGTGACTGTGTTGAAGCTAATCCAGAGTATTACCATGTTTGGAATGATAGTCCTGAACAGAGCGACATCGAGTAGCAGAGAAGTAAGTTACAGGACCTTTGTGTGTGCGGTAATCTAGTATTTCAAGTAGACAAAGTATAAAATACTTAGTTGGTCGTTTATGAATCAAATAGTATGCCTTGTCCGCATCAAAAGGTTCAATCAAAGCTTTGCATCGATAATTTTGAAGATCGTTCAAGTGTACTATGTCAAACGCACCCTTTACAATTGATGAAGCTTCATCCACATCCTCGATCACGTTCTAAAAGTCACGTATAACATTAAATCAGCACTTTATCTCTTCGTCATCATCAATACAAAAGTCCTCCTTCTATGCGAAATAAAGACAAAAATCAAGCATTTCATACGAATAATTCTGACGGTTTTGATGTTCGAGCCATGGAGCAAATGTTAAAGACCCGATTGCGTTTTCAACGGCAAAATGTCATCAATCACGTTGCGGCTACGATCGGCCAGTTTTACGTTTAGGATGTACAAAACCAAGCTTGGTCTTACTATTTCTACATTTTTATGCCAATTTTTATCAGCTTCTAAATACTAAAATTCTACTTTACGAAAATTAAGTGTAATACTCTGCATCTGCTCTTGATGATTCGTCAGTGTAATGGTAGGGACTGCTATACTCATCCGGTTTTGTCCACGTCGCCTCACCAGTCCTGACGTTATAAAAGTATGAGGCTTCAACACTTTCATCCCAATATTCAACCCATTCATCATAAAGATCAGTATTGCTGTCATCGAGCATCATTTCCATCTCTTCTGGACGGTTCCAAACACTTTGACAAGTTTCTGTATTGTAATAGTACACGTGTCCACTTGCTTCATCAAAATACTCGACCCATTTAGACTGAAGTTTGATCGTATCACCAACGTCAACCATATTTGTAAGTCTCTGCTTTGCGTAGACGTATCGAAATGCGCGTTGGATTCGTACAGCCGATTGCTTTTCAAGACGAATCCGGTTAAGCATTCGTCGCCTTAAAAAACGTCGAGCACAGCGGTGGGCGCGAAGGCGTTGAAAGCTTGTAATTGCTATACGTTGACGCATAAATCGTTGTATACAGCTCGCACTTACCGCTTCACGCGCTGCGACACAGTCTTGAAGAAGCTTCCGCGTGCATTTGACAGCCTCAAGTCGTCGACTTAAGCATTCGATTCTGGCTTTTCGTCTACGCACAAAGATCTGAATTCGCCTAGCTGCGATTTCTTCATCAGCAGCTTTGGCAGCAATAAACCGAAGTTTTTCACTCAATTGATCGTAAAAATGTCGCTGATTCTCAAGCTGAAGCATTTGTAGCTCACATCGCGCGATATACCCACGTCGGAATGATTGCAAACGCACCACTGCAGTGTGCTGACGGATATGAAGGATATGCCGTCGTGCAATTAGACCACGTAAATGACATTGAATACAGCACGCAGCAGCATTTTCATTGTCTTTCTGACGTTCTAGCTTTAAACCAACAGCCACGCGTCTTCCTAGATATTCACGAGCTCTCGACTGAATCAACACTGCTGCAACATATCGAAGCTTGGAGTGGTGCTGACGATAAACACGTTGAATCTTTAGGGCACTGTTTCGTTCAAATTTTAAGCGTTTGAGCTTACATCGAGCCAAGTACATTCGTAGTGTACACTGTATGATTTTACCAACATACGACTTTAGCAAGTGATGATTATTGTCAACTTCAGATCCCGCACGAGTACATCGGTTTTCTCCATCAGACGAAAAGTCGTAAGGTCGATAAACCATTGATCTCATGGCTGAATCGCGAGTACTGTGATCACTCAAACAGGATAAGCAACTTTTCCGAACGGCTTGCCTCTCGCAAAACATACAAGCACGAAATCGAATGCGTTTTAAATGTTGAGATGAGCGATTTCTACGTTGAGTTGATACCACAAACTTAACAAGACGACGGTGGACGTTAATATAGCTAGCCGCCATATTAACGTCATCGAAATTGATGTTGGCATTGCAATAGACAGCGCACGATTCTATTCTTGCTTTCAAATGATACACATTTGTAAAATGAGCGCGACATGAAGCACAAACACCCAGACGTTGATTTTTTTGACGACGCAATCGCTTGCGTCGAGTCTGTCGTGCTTTAAATCGACTTTGTGTCAATGTAGCAACTCGAGTATGCTTTACAGAAATGATATTTCTCAAGTATTCGCATCGTACTAACCATGAACGGTACACAGCTTGTATCCGCCGAACTGCATCTTCCTGCTTGCGAGTCTGAACAACTTCAAACGACTTAAGTAAAGTCCAATGCATTCGCCAGACTCTCTGAATTCTCATAATTGCTTGAACGCATTGTTTTTGCTTTCCAATCTTGTACAACATCTTTTGAGCTTGACGTCGACGCGACAAGCATTGAATGACAAGTGCAGCCTCCTCCCGTTCAAAATGATTAACTACATGGCGCACCATCAAAGTCATCAATTGCTCTAAAATTACAAACCGGACATACTTTCTGGCTACATAATTGCGATAGGCCTGGATAATGATCGTTGCATTTCTTTTGAGCTCTCGTACATGCCGCGCTTTCCATCGTATATAGGCGAATTGTATTCTTCTGGCTACTTTATTTTTCTCCGCAAACATCGTCCGAGTTAAAAAGCCTCGCCACATCTTTTGAAGAATCGTGACTGCTTGAAATTCACTACGTTGCTGTCGCAATTTTTGTACTCGCACACGGGCGATGTGGCCTCGAATTGTGCATTGAATCTCAATAGCTGCCACATTTTGACGATGCATTAGTCGCAAGCAATTCACAAGACGACGAGCTACAATATTCCGAGCATAAGTTTTCAGCTTTTGTGCTACCAACCATTGTCGCAACTCATTCATTTTACTATGTGCTCGATGCTGAATCACAAAGATGTTCAACGATGGCTTAAGGACATTTGATGCATTAGGATTGAGGTGACAAGCTTTTGACCTAGTGCGTATAATACGGAAAGAAAATCGAATGAATTGCTGTAATTTGCGTGCTGCACAATCACGACGTTTTTTGTCAACCAAAAGTCGAGCAAGAAAACCTCGAACTACGCGTTGAACGTCCACACTGGCAGCCGTACATTCAGCAACCACGTCATTATCAATAGCATGCAACCAGTAAAACAAAACTTGTTTTCGAACATTTTTAACATAAAGCTGGACGATCATACTCGCAACCTGATTGACGATTTTCTGCCGTTGAAAACGTAATCGATTCTCTAACTTTTGCTCCATGGCTCGAACGTCAAAACCATCAGAATTATATATACGTGTAAAAGGCTTCAATCTTCTTTGATTCGCTCTTTTCTGATTCATAGAAGAAGGAGGTTTGTGCCATAATGGAGGACTCACTTGCTCGAGAATGCGAAAGCGAAATGCGCAAGAGTTGAGCTGAAAGCTTGTATTTAATGCAGCGTGAGGGTGTACGCCACGTTGAAGATCATGAAAACACTGAGCTGAAGCATTAGAAAGGTCCCATGTCGTTCCAAAGTAGCGATGACCTGATTTAACGTTTTCTACAAGATACACACCAGCATTCACTTTTCGAGCGCCGTTGCGAATAAATTGATTAGAACTTGCACATCTTTTTCTGATCGTCGAGGAAGTTGAGAGCTTTGGAGCTTTAACGATACACTTGGTGGCCACTGTTTCCAAGTAAAGAATTGATGTCTTTTGTATTGATGATGACGAAGAGATAAGTTGCTGATTTGATGTTATACTCTGTTGATTTTGTACTAGATTTTTAGAACGTAATCGAGGATGTGATTGAAGCTTAACCAATTGTAAAGGATGCGTTTGACATAGTACACTTGAACGATCTTCAACATTATTGATGCAAAGCTTTGTTCGAACCTCTTGATGCGTACAAGGCATACTTTGTTTACGATGCTGATTTATAAACAGATTAAAACGACTAAGTATTTTATACTTTTCTAATTGAAAGTATATATTACCTCC